CCTTGCATGTGGAAAACAGGTTTCAAGCACAGAACCTCTAGCACCAAGCAGAATGGCAACATAATTTTAGCTCCTGAGCAAAATGGGTCTCACAATAGCGTCAGTACGGCATGCACATTAACATTTGAATATGCTGTATAATAAGCATGCTAATTACTCTGAGAATACTTGAAGAATAAAATCAGCCGTGATCATTAGAAGAGAAAGGGGCTAGCAATTTATAGCATGGCTGCTGCTTGATATTCAAAAATACATGACGGCTCTCCTCACAGGTAAAAGGTAATTACTGTGATTATAAACTGTAATGATAGTGGCAGGAAGTGATCAGAATTTTATTGGAAGTAAGGATGCAGTACACTTGTGTTTTTTGTTGTTCTTGGTTTCTTTTTAACCACATTCAGATTTTAATTTTTTAAATTTAATTAATTTTTTTTTTTTTTAATTTACATCCAGGTTAGTTAGCATGTAGTGCAACAATGATTTCAGGAGTAGATTCCTTAGTGCCCCTTACCCATTTAGCCCATCCCCCCTCCCACAACCCCTCCAGTAACCCTCAGTTTGTTCTCCATATTTATGAGTCTCTTCTGTTTTGTCCCCCTCCCTGTTTTTATATTACTTTTGTTTCCCTTCCCTTATGTTCATCTGTTTTGTCTCTTAAAGTCCTCATATGAGGGAAGTCATATGATTTTTGTCTTTCTCTGACTAATTTCACTTAGCATAATACCCTCCAGTTCCATCCACGTAGTTGCAAATGGCAAGATTTCATTCTTTTTGATTGCCGAGTAATACTCCATTGTGTGTGTGTGTGTGTGTGTGTGTGTGTGTGTGTGTGTGTATACCACATCTTTTTTTTTTTAATTTTTTCTCAATGTTTATTTATTTTTTTGAGACAGAGAGAGACAGAGTATTAACAGGGGAGGGTCAGAGAGAGAGGGAGACACAGAATCTGAAACAGGCTCCAGGCTCCGAGCTGTTGGCACAGAGCCCGATGTAGGGCTCGAACCCATGGACTGCAAGATCATGACCTGAGCCGGAGTCGGATGCTCAACTGACTGAGCCACCCAGGCGCCCCACCACATCTTTTTTATCCATTCATCCATCGATGGACATTTGGGCTCTTTCCATACTTTGGCTATTGGTGATAGCGCTGCTATAAACATTGGGATGCATGTGTCCCTTCAAAACAGCATACCTGTATCCTTTGGATAAATACCTAGTAGTGCAATTGCTGGGTTGTAGAGCAGTTCTATTTTTAATTTTTTGAGGAAGCCTCCATACTGTTTTCCAGAGTGGCTGCACCAGTTTGACTTATTACTAATAAAAATGTGTCCCCATTTGGTTGCTTGGTTCGTTTGAGCAGTTTAGATGTGAACCCACTGCTACATTGCTAATCTCAACTCTGCAGAAAACGGCTGGCAGGGTTTACAAGGGTGATGAGGAGCTGGGAGAGGGCGGGCCTCAGGTTGGACATGGGGCCATGATAATCACCTTGTGCTAGGTTAGAAGCTGTACTGGGAACCTGGTACCCCGTGCCTTGCATGACCTAGACTAGCAGTTCTCAACGTCTCATCTGCAGACCTCTCAGGGATCCTGCTGCTCTTTCAGGAGGTCCACAAGACCAAATTGTTTGTATAATAATATTAAGGTGTTATTTGTCTTTCTCACAGTATTGAACAACTACATACTGTATGATTCAACTTATATGAAATGTCCCAAACAGGCAAATCTATAGAGACAGAACACAGATAAGCCATTGCCAGAGATCAGGGGAGGCCAGAAGGGAGAGCGATTGCTTGATGGGTACAGAGTTTCCTTTTGGGGTGAGGAAACTGTTCTGGAACTAGGTAGTGGTGGTTGTGAATTTCCGAAATGTCACAGAATTGTATACTTTAAAATAGTTAAAACGGGGAGTGCCTGGGTGGCTCAGTCGGTTAGACATCTGACTTCGGCTCAGGTCATGATCTCACAGTTCATGGGTTGGAGACCCGTGTTGGGCTCTGTGCTGACAGCTCAGAGCCTGGAGCCTGCTTCAGATTCTGTGTCTCCCTCTTTCTCTGCCCCTCCCCTGCTCACACTCTGTGTCTCTTTCTCTCTCTTTCTCAAAAATAAATAAACATAAATTTTTTTAAATAGTTAAAATGGGGCGCCTGGGTGGCGCAGTCGGTTAAGCGTCCGACTTCAGCCAGGTCGCGATCTCGCGGTCCATGAGTTCGAGCCCCGCGTCGGGCTCTGGGCTGATGGCTCAGAGCCTGGAGCCTGTTTCCGATTCTGTGTCTCCCTCTCTCTCTGCCCCTCCCCCGTTCATGCTCTGTCTCTCTCTGTCCCAAAAATAAATAAACGTTGAAAAAAATTTTTTTAAATAGTTAAAATGGTGAGTTTTAAGTTACGTGAATTTTACAACATTAAAAAAAAAAAAAAAAAAGAGAGAGGGAGAAAGTTTGCAGATTGTCCCGCATAAGAAATTCTTCCTATGCAGAATTTTTAAGCTTCTTGAGGGTTTTCTAGTCATGGAAGTTCTCCTGTTTGTGAGGGCCTTTCAATAGCTATAATTCTTATAGTTAGGAAACATTTTTCTTATTTCCTGGACAAGCGAGGCTATTTAAAACCATTTCTTTGGACTTTGCCTAATGCTTTATCCTTTTGCCTTATCCTTTCTGTCAGCCTGGAAAGCTACTACTTATTCTTTGAAGCCCATCTAAAAATGACACTCCCTTGGTGAAATGTTCCTGGGCCTCCAGCCCCAAGCCTACCCCAGGAAGAATTGGCCCCTTTCCCCCAGTCTGGGTTCTTATAGTACTTTGGTGATATTCCTTATATCATATTCCTGATGCAAGGAATTGTATCACAGTTACTCACAATAAATCATTTTTTTTTGTTGTTAATGTATCTGTCTCTCCTAAAAGGTGACTCTTAAGAGCAGGAGTATTTCTCATTACCCCAAAATCCCAGTACACACACAGACACACACACACAGCTCTCCAAATGTGGTACCAATTAATAACTTTATATTAAGTACTTAAAGTTTTTTTATTCATTTATTTTGAGAGAGAGAGAGCACGTGTGCAAACAGGGGAGAAGCAGAGAGAGAGGGAGAGAGAGAGAATCCTACGCAGGCTCTGCACAGAGTCTGATGCAGGGCTTGAACCCACAAACTGTGAGATCATGACCTGAGTGGAAATCCAGAGTCAGATGCTCAACTGACTGAGCCACCCAGGTGCCCCTTAAGTATTTTTAAAAGGGCTTTACAGGGGCGCCTGGGTGGCGCAGTCGGTTAAGCGTCCGACTTCAGCCAGGTCACGATCTCACGGTCCGTGAGTTCGAGCCCCGCGTCAGGCTCTGGGCTGATGGCTCAGAGCCTGGAGCCTGCTTCCGATTCTGTGTCTCCCTCTCTCTCTGCCCCTCCCCCGTTCATGCTCTGTCTCTCTCTGTCCCAAAAATAAATAAACGTTGAAAAAAAATTAAAAAAAAAAGGGCTTTACAAACATTGACTCATTTAATCCTTATAACTTTATATACACACATTTTATAGATGGTTCACCTGAGGAAACAAAAACTTTGGGGCACAAGATGTTAAAACAGCAAAGTTGCGTGACAGTAAAACCACATTATAGCTTGGCACATGGTTGGTGCTCAATAAATGCCTATTCTGGCAAAAGAAAAACTGGCTAAGAACATTAGGTAAATAAAAGAGTTCTATTTTTATGACTTGTTAAATGTTTGTATATAGTTTTTAGACTTCACAGAGTGTTAGAGCTGGGAGGGACCTTGGCTATCTCTCTGTGCAAGTTAGAGATAGGGCAGGGGTGCTCCCAGGCGGTCCTGTGGAAGAAACATGGTCTTGGAGCTGAAGCGGGGAGATCAGGAGTGGGGAAAGAGGTCTCCCAGAAGCGGAGAGAGTGAATAAGTTAACCGAGAGAGATGGTAGCTTAAGACAATTATTCAACCAGCACTAAGGAAACCCCCTACCCAGGAGAAAGGCCAGGGGAAGGCAGGAGAACTAAGAGATGGGAGAGCCACAGAGCAGCACAAGATGCCCCACAGCATGCATGCTCTACAGGGGATACTCAGAGTCTCAAACCAAAGAGCACAAGGCTTCCCACAAAAACCAGCTGTATCTCTTTATCCCACATCACCCTGATAGATCTTCCCAGAGGCAACTACCGCCAACTCAGCTTCTGATTTTTACCTCCATGTTTATAAACATGTTTCTGTTGCTTTACCTTGGTTTTCCCACTTTAGACATTATATATTGAGTTCCTAGTATTAGAAGATTAGGGTTTAGCTGTCCAATGCCACCCCTAAAAACCAGGTGTGCACCAGTCAACTGGAAGCCAAGTGGCCCATCTGAAAGGGAGGCAGCTCCTACTTATCAGGTTACTGCCATGAATCCAGCTCCAGGCTGACAGTGTGGATCAAAGTATGTTAATTTGTAAGTAATCAAAACACAGCCCCAAAACTGTCTTAACAATGAAGCTTCCACCAGAAGTCCAGGGTGACTCAAGGTTCCAGGTTGGTTTGATTCAGCCGAACACCAATGTCATCAATGCTGACTTCCATGTGAGTTGGCTGCCAACAGTCCACAAGCTCCTCACTCATATCCAGACAGGTGAAAGTCATTTCTGGAAGCCTCCTTAACAAACCTCTGTTGGTCTAGATTGGGTCATGTGCCTGTAGTGGATACTGGGGAGGTCTCCTCAGTTCCCCTCTTCAGGGCAGGCATAGCTGCTAGGAATATTCTGGCAGTCAGTCTCAGGTCTCAAAAAGCCACTTCCCCCAAGGTTTTACAAAGTTTTACCTCTTCCCGGGTGCAGCCTGAGGCCAGCAACTGGTTGATGTAGGAATACAAATGCCTGGCTCCTGTACTTCAATTTGGGACAATTCTGAAAGGCCATCCCCATTCTCAAGTTCCTGGTGGGATCAGCTGAGGCCTTGGTTGTAACTACACTGCAGTTAGCTGGTCAGCTTCTCACGCCCACTCTGTTCTCTTCATGTCCCCACAGGTGTCTGTCCTGAGAACTCTCCTCAATAAACCTGTGTGTGCTAATTCTCCATCTTGGATTCTGTTCCCAGGGACCCCAGTCTAAGACAGTGCCAGCTTCTGAATCAACAAAGGTGACAAGAGGTGGGACTATGCTGATGAAGTAGGACTAGTTTGCACGCCATGTTATAGACCAGGGCTGGGATCAATCTCTCCCAAAGCACGTGGGCTGAAGCAGAGAGGATAGGGACTGAAACAAAACTGAACTGTTAATAAAAAAGAGAAAAATCATATTGGGGAGGAAATGATACAGATTTTTTTGATCTTTCAAGAGAAGCCAGAATCTCATGATGTTTCAACATTGGAAACTAATTGCGATATTTTTAAATGTTGATGAAGAGCCGACAAGACATTGCCCAACATTTCAGCAGTTTGCAATCCTGGCCAGAAAGAACACGGGTATAGTTTGTAGCCCCAGAGAGCAAAGCTAGGACTGATAGTTATGTGAAATCAAGATTTCAGTTCAACCTGATGAACAGTTTCCTAATGATTTGAGCAATATGAAAATGGAATGAAGCATCTCAGGAGGAGGTGAATTCTTTGGCACCAAGGTTCATGTTTGGGTCTTCTTAGAATTTGAAGTATATGATCTTTGAGATCCTATTCATTGATATCCATATAACATGTCCTATATTCACAAAATATCACTGATACACCCTTATCCCAATATTAACAGCAACCAGAATTGGGATTGTACCAATAGTACTACTGAAACACGACTCAGTTTCCTTTTCCTGGAATACACTTGACTTGTCACTTCTGGATATTTACTTAAGTATCAAGGGGAACAAAGGTATCTTGTCTTAGATATAAAGATGCCACTAGCAAATCCTGTACAGATATCACATCATGATAACCTCTAGCATTATATTCTAGCATGTCAAAGATGGAAGCATCTCAAAGATCATGCAGTCCTGTTCCATTTAATGGGAGACACAGAGAGGGGAAGGAACTTAAATTACACAGTAAAACCATGACCAGGATCTGGATGTCTTTACTCTTGGAGCACAGTTCTTCCCACTGCAACTCAAATGACATATTTTGTTGTCATTAAGCTGAAATAATTCCCCATCACCCAGCTATCCCAGAATGACAGTACTTCTGGTCTAATGGACTTTAAGTTTCTAGGAGGAAGCCAGTCTCTGGCGGCCATTCCCTTTCAGTGGCCTAGAATGCCCAACTATTTATAGAGATAGTTTCTTTGATTATGTTTAGTGGTTACTTGTTTTAAAGGTATTAGGTCCACATGGTTCCAAATTCAGTGTTCTTTCCACGATGTCACTGTGCCTGGAAAAAAACGCCATGGTTTTAGCTACCAGGAGCAGGATGAAAGGTACAAGTGGGCCTGGAGGGCAGGCTGAGCCACTGAACCATGGCTTCTTAAATTCCCTAATAGGACAGAGCCTGCAGAGGGACTGATTGGCCCAAGCTATAAAGAGAAGAGGGACTCAACAGGGAGATGACCACCTTGAAACAGGACTTGTCTCATCGTGCTCCTTCATCCCATACCTCTAATCTGACACAAAGCCCTTTTGAGTCTTCCTGAGAAATATTTATCCTGCCTGGCCCTCCCTCTTTCCTCTCACAGAAAAACAACAACAACAACAACAACAACAACAACAACAACAAAGACACAAAAACCTGATTTGGACTTGAGTTACCCCACATGTAGGTTATTGTCACAGGCTTTTAGTTCACTTCCTCTGGGTTGCAGGAATAGTCTAAACCGAAATGAGCATGTATTACATCTGGTTTTCATTTACAGCATGTGTGTAAATTATGCTGGTCTTTTAAAAAGCCTAGATTTTTACCCTTCAACTCCACGTAGTAAAAGAAACTCCGTAAGTGCCACGCAAAGACTTGCTCCAGCTCAGAAACAAGGCTGGTCACCAAAAAGAAGAAACTTGCTCAGAAAATGGATAAACAAGTTGCATTGTATTTATACATTAGTATACTCTTCATTAATACAAAGAAGTGAGCTACTGATGCACCCAGCAACCCAGATAAATCTCAAAAGTACCATGTTGAGTGAAAGAAGTCAGATATAAGAGAGTACCTGTAGTATGATTTCATTCATATGAAGTTCAAGAACAGGCAAAATCATCTCCTGGGGATATAATTTGGGATAAGGGTTGCCTCTGATAGGGCATGGGAAGGGATACAGGGGAATGTACTTTCTAACTTGATTGGGGTGTTGGTCATACATGGGTATACCTTTGTTAAAACTCACCAACTATATGCTTAACACCTGTACATTTTTCTGTATGTAATTATTCCTTAAATCAAGAGGCTGTTGTAGAAAGAAGAACCCAGATGTCTGGTGAAAAACAATGGCTTCTTAGTAGTCCCCTGCCCTCTCTCAACTTCTCACTAAAAAACATCTGAAGAATTGGGGAAATTCGGAGCCTCCCAGCACCATATAAAATCTGACAGAAATGCAATGCCAGCATCTTGGCATCATTTCTTCTCCTTTAAAGTACATGTTGCAGCTGGATTAAGAAAATCATATTTTTTTTTTAATTTTTTTTCAACGTTTTTATTTATTTATGGGACAGACAGAGACAGAGCATGAACGGGGGAGGGGCAGAGAGAGAGGGAGACACAGAATCGGAAACAGGCTCCAGGCTCTGAGCCATCAGCCCAGAGCCCGACGCGGGGCTCGAACTCACGGACCGTGAGATCGTGACCTGGCTGAAGTCGGACGCTTAACCGACTGCGCCACCCAGGCGCCCCAAGAAAATCATATTTTAAAAAAAGGAAAGAAAATCATATCCTACCACTTTTTTTAAGGTATCTCCAGGCTATGATACTTCTTTTAAAATAAAAAAATTTTAAGTTCATTTATATATTATGAGAGAGAGACAGAGAAAGAGCATGAGCAGTCAGGGGAGGGGGGTGGCAGAGAGAAAGGGAGAGAATCCCAAGCAGTCTCTGCACCCTCAGCACAGAGCCCCAGATGGGGCTCAAACTCACCAAATGCAAGATCATGATCTGAGCTTAACTGACCGAGCCCCCCGGGCGCCCCATGTCCTACCACTTTCATTCCCTGAGCAGATGCCTGAGAAAGGGTATGAAGCTCCGTGGCCCCTCCCACACCATCTGTCCTCTGCCAACTCTGGGGACATCCAGCCCTTTGGGAACAGATCTAAGGCAGCCAGAACACCATTTCTTAGTATCCACAGCCACCAACACGAGCCTCCTCTGCCAGCTTGCTCACTGTTTAAATTTCATTTGTTTCAGGGGCGCCTGGGTGGCGCAGTCGGTTAAGCGTCCGACTTCAGCCAGGTCACGATCTCGCGGTCCGTGAGTTCGAGCCCCGCGTCGGGCTCTGGGCTGATGGCTCAGAGCCTGGAGCCTGTTTCCATTTCTGTGTCTCCCTCTCTCTCTGCCCCTCGCCCGTTCATGCTCTGTCTCTCTCTGTCCCAAAAATAAATAAACGTTGAAAAAAAAATTTAAAAAAAAATAAAAATAAATTTCATTTGTTTCAGATTTAATACACCAGACAGTTTTTAACACCAAATAGGTCTATAGCACTTGTTACCCAAACAGCAGCTCCTGCCCCGCCCTTCCCAGCTCACTCCCCATCCTCCCCAGACAGGGCTTCCAGTTCTTTTAGTTGTTGACTCTGGTATTTGCCTCCTTTTATATAAATAATGTGGTTATATCACTCTTTGGGTTTTGTTTTTATTTGACACATTAACTATTACTATTGACTTCCTCCTATGGAAAATAGGAAGTTCGCTCTCTTACACCCTCACTCCTGCACAGCTTTGACTATCCCTCCTTTCAGTACTGGTTATTTATGTTAATGTGCCTTCATGTTTGGAGATAAGCCACCTAAAAAACTGTATTTCTTGTACAACTTTTTATTTTTCCTGGAGTTAAGAATTACCTCCTTTCATTGTTTTCATTTCTCCATCAGAGCTATGAAATTCTCTCTCAGTGTGCTTACACAGGAGGTGATCCTTGTTTTCATTTTCCAGTATCCTCCTGGAGTCCTCTGACTTCTTGCTCAATCTGTACTGGGTTGCTCTTGAGGCCTGCCATACTGCTACCCTTGTGGGAGTATATTCTCCAGGAGCTTCATGAGGAAGAGTGCATGCAGGGTTACTATTTTGAGATCTTTAATGTCTGAAAACATTTTTAGTCTTCTCTCACTCTTGAATGATCATTTGACTGTATGTTAAGTACTTAGAGGACGATCCTTTTCCTCAGAATTTTCTCATAAGGCTTCAATTACGTCACTGTCTTCTAGCTTCCCATGATCTATTAAGTCACATAACGTTTGATTAAAATTTTTTAATGTTTATTTACGTTTGAGAGAGAGAGAGAGAGTGCGCGCAAGTGGAGGAGGGGCAGAGAGAGAGGGAGACACAGAATCCGAAGCAGGCTCCAGGCTCCGAGCTGTCAGCACAGAGCCCAACACAGGGCTCAAACCGAGGAGCTATGAGATCATGACCTGAGCCGAAGTTGGACGCTCAACTGTCTGAGCACCCAGGAGCCCCATAACATTTGATTTTTGATCCTTAGGATACTTTTAGGATCTCTGGTTTTTGGAAATCTCATCACACTATGATTTGGTGGGCCATTTCAATCTGAAAATCCAAAGGAACTGTGTTTTTTCCCTTAGGATACTTTAAGGATCTCTGTTTTTTGGAAATCTCATTACACCATGATTTGGTGGGCCATTTCAATCTGAAAATCCGAAGGAACCGTGTTGCATTATTGCTTGATAAGTTCATCCTTTACAGCTATAGGTACTGAACATACCGACATTTGAGGGTCTCTCAGTGGAAGTACCAGCTTGCTTCCTGATCACCACAGAGTGATGCCCCCTAGTCTTTAAGACCTATCAATGCACACAGAGTTTCCACTCATATTTTTAGTGCCTCTCTTGTAAATATGGATATTCAAGAATGATCAGATGCTCAGGAAAGACTAACACAAGAGCCAAAAATCTGAGTGAGTAAAAAGGAACGTAGAGAAAATGAACACAATTCAGATATGATAA